ACAACCCTCTTGTCAAGTTTAAACTAAAACTTTGGCATACGTTTGTAGTCAATTTAGTTGAGGAACTGTTTGAACAAACTAGCCAAAGTCTCAAAATTTGCCAACATTCATAGCTTGAAGCAATTAAAATCATTTAAAGATTTTTGCTAATGTAGCTCATGTGAAGGCAAATAACAACCTAGCTTCAGAAAGACTAAACTTTGATTAGAGGTACCAGTTTAAGAAGTTATTATCTGAGAGTTTCACACATGGAGAAATTAAGAGTCAATGCCATTTATTCATAGAAATGTAGAATGTCATATGTAAATAATCATCCATTTAAAAATATTCAAAACAAGCCCAAATCGATGGCTTTGATCATTGTTCTTCTGTGAGAGTAAAAATAACTTAGGGTAGATACAAAGTTATAAAATTATTAGACCTTTAAAAGTAAAATATCACAGATCTTTAGATTCTTGAGAGTTTGAATTTGGGAAGACATATATATATAGAGAGAGAGAGAGAGAGGAGGGGGAAGTGAGAGAGAGAGTGGGAGAGTCTTGGAACATAACTAGAAGGACTTCAGATGCAATTTATGAGCCATGCATAAAAACAATCACGTTTTGTTTTTGATTGCAAATAGTGATGCTAAACTACATCATTTGCTGTTAAAGAAAATAGGGCTTCAAATGAGTTTTGGCTAACTCCTAAAATGGGATTTACTATTACTGAGATAAAGCACTGTTGAGAATATTCGTATCAACTTGCTGTGAGTCCTGAAGGCTATTCTGAATTGCTGGGGGAGTCAAACATATTTTGATTCATGCGAACATCTCTGGGATATGTGTTTGGCATCTTAAGGTAATTTCTTTGAAGAGGGCAGTAATCACTTGGATCTTTTAATATGTTTGTTAACAAGCCAATATAATTAATATAGTTTGATCCTTGGTATGGAGATATATGGAGAATGCATGCTATATAGTGTATACAAACTTTTTCTGTTAAACACTAATTTTCTCATATGAAATACTTCATTATGTTAGATATCAGAATATCATACTTTGAGCAATTCAGAACTGTACATTTTCAACAGAATTGTAGTATGTTAGGTTGGTAAGAGTTCTTGGAGAATAGTTAGACAAATAACTTTTATTTGGAAATGCTTGGAAACTAACGCCTTGGACAAATACATTACAAGAAACAAATGAAAATACATTCGGCAAACTTCTTTTGAATCTTTCAAACTTTCCTGTGTTATGCTCTTTCTTCTCTCAAAAATAAATCTCCCATATCTGAGTTGTTTTCCCTCATAAATTTAAGAGAAACTAAAAAAGTCTTTCAAAAAATATCTTTGCCTCTATGAATCTAAATTTTCTCTGTGGAAAGATAGGATTAGTCTGGTAAAAAAAGACAATTTGTTTCTTTTTTGTAAAATTGCTTCACTATTAAAAGAATGTCTGAATAACTCTGAAACACTTGTATTTAATTATGTAAATCTAATGAAAACATAAAATTGTCCTTATCTTTTGAAAAATTATTATATTTACTCAGACATGTTCAATTAAATAAATACTCTCCTTTGCTCAACTGTTATTACTTAAATATTTACAATTAAAAAAATGAAGTATATTTCCCTTTGGGAATAAGTGGCCATTGATTCTATATTAGAAATGTAACACCTCCAAAGAATATCCATCTTCATCAATCTGAAGTATAATGATGCCAGTAAGATATGGAAAATCTCTGGAGTTTTAACTGAAACTATTTCATCACTCCTTTCTGTTCATACAGGTCCTGACTCTCATATTCTCAAATTCTTCCCCAGCCCCTTTGTGCCTTGTCTTAGGCAAAGCAATTTCCATTTCAACTTCTTATCCCCATTGTCCTGTTCAGCAAAGGCTTTCCTTGGGATCTAGCCCCTCCTCAGGGTTGTGTGGGATTGTAAATAGCACCCCCCCATTTGCTGTCACAAATGACTTTTCCTGTCATGTTAGCAAAACACACATTTCATCATGTATCCACCCAACTGGAAATCTTGGTTTCATAAAATTATGAAGATAAAGCATAAAACTGTAAAACCATTGGTCTGATACTAAAAGCTCTTTCGAAGGTTTAAAACCAGCATTTCTCATTCAGTTTCTGCTCTCCTTCAGCCTAAGATATTGGCCAATGGGCCCAATCAGCTGTGCTGGTGAACATCCATACTTGGGCAAAGCATGTTTCCTTTGTCAAGAAAGGTTAATTCTTTGTCCAGCATTTAATTCATTACTCTTGGAAATAAATCCAGAACCTTATGGACAGCGCCTTTTAATATTGCCTTTCAATAATTCTCAAGGTGTGATGGGGCAAATCAGGGCAAGACTTCTACCACAGAAACCCTTCAAAGCCCCTTTTGCCCCATCAGAGTCTCCATAGGAAGCAGGCCAGGACGAAGGAGGCAACTGAGGCAGGGTCATGCAGGCGCAGGGTTGGATCTTGTCATTTAAGATTGTGACATTTGGTTCATTGTCAACTATTAGTTTAATTTTGTTTTTTTAAAAGTTGTGTTAAAATATTATTTGCCTTTGTTATTGAGATTTGGGCCACTTCAAATTTTGTGCATGAGGCCTCACCCTTGTTACTCTTGTGCTGGCCTCACTTAGGGAGACCCTCTCCCTATCTGATGGTTCAGTGGCAGAGAGAACATGTTTGAATTTGGGAAAAGGTAGCAATGATTTCACTGGGAGAGTATTCAAAATTGAAAAGCAGCCAGGTATTACAAAACTGCAAATATTTTCTTTTGAGTAACATAATGGAATTACCTGTCTTGTGATAGATTTGTGAATATGCCATGAAATTCTTCCTATATAGAAAAGCTCATGTTTTTCATGCCCTGAAGCTATAAAGAAAATGATGAAGAACAAAGTGACAAATATTAACAGAAATGTTAATTGCCCCCAGGGAAGGAAGGAATGTGGCATTTGGCCAAAAACTCCAAAATGGGAGGAGGAGAATATGGGACTTCTGGCTGGATTTGCTCCTGCATCCTTGATGAATTTAAGTAAGGTAATTTATACTTTCTCTGCTCCCTTTTAAAAGCAGGAGTTCTCTTCATGATTGAATTCACTGTTGCCCGGTTTATAAAAAAATAAATGCCATTTTTAAAAAGGACAGAACCAAAATTACTTAAGAAAGTCCCTCCCTCCCAGTGCCAGTAGCAGGCATACTTAACCCTGAATAAAACAGCAAATTTTCTTTATTCCATCTTATTTTCCCGGAAAGAGGACATACTAAATAAAGTTATAGAACTGAGCTAACAATTTAGTGCATGCAGCCAGTCACACTTGCTTAAATTTTTGACCATTACTCTCAGGACTCAAAATAGTTATTGATGCTCAGCATCCAATTATTCTAAAAGGACTACATTTCTTTTATATTGCAGAGAATAGTAATTTCCAAATAGGCAGAACATGTAATAAGATTTTGCTATGTGCAGTATAGATGAACAAAATAATCAGACTTGGGTTTTATGGCACAAATTCTAGAAGGATAGAGGCATCAGGGAGATAAATCTTGTTCACACAGCTTAATGTCATAAATTATAAAAGTAAAATTCATAAGAGCAAAGTAGCATAGTAACATTATAAAATTAACAAATATAAACACTTAAATTTAAGAAGTCATGGGGACTTTTAAAATAGGCCTGAAAGATGATAGAGATCACTTCTATTTTAAAGTGTAAATAATTCATGATTTAAAATAATAACATCTAAAGTTTAAAACACATCATATTGTTTAAATTACCCAAGTCCTTTAGGAACTAGCCTAACTTGACTGTGTACTTTGCAATGTCCTGCAGATGTTATGCTCACTTAAGTTTATAAATTGCAAAATAACCACCATTTTAGAGTGGGATGGCATCCGTCAGGGAATCATTCACTTATGGAGTGGTCCCTGAGACCCGGAGACAGGCTATTTATTTGATGAATAGAATCTATTGCCATTCCTGCCATTTATCCTTACAGTTTTCAAGAATCCTTCATTCAATGCAATAAACGCTATGTCAGGCTCTCAGGTCTGATTCAAAATCCATTTGTAAAGGGAGGTTCTATCACTATCAAAAGCCTTTGCAAGGCCGAAGGCTGTCATAAAAGAGGTTTGTATAATAAATTGTAAGGTGATTTTTTTCCATCTCTAAATCTAATAGCACAGAAATGACTGTGTTTTGGAATTGGGCAACAACCACATGTTAAGAAGGTACAGAGCAAAGAATAAGTAGACTTCAATTAATACTATATGGAAGAGGTAAAACACAGGGACAACTGGGAAACCCACGTTCTATTTACCTTCCTCGCTATAGTCATGGGCTTATCTATAATTAATTTTATAATGACTGTCAAGTATAAGCCCACTTGGAGATCTTACGATGTAAAGGTAGAAAGAGGCAAATCTGTACTCATTAATAAAACAAAACATTTGATTAGAGTATATTGATAAAATAAACTATTCATGATGTTAGTTTATTTTCTGTTGAATTTATTAATAATCTTTATATATATTTATATATGTATGGCTTTAAGCAAAGACAAAAGAGATACTCTAATTCATCCCTGATCATAACAGTTGTTGTAAGAATCAGCTATTCTATTTTCCCAGCAGCAGAAAGACCAATCTTTTCAATAATACATTTCTTTCTGTACAGATTAAAACTCCATACTCATGGGCTTAACTATGTACAGAGAAAAGAGGTCACTTTTCAACTAGCAATGGACTTTTATATTACAGGAATGTGAGTCAATTTTTTTTCTTAATCTAAGCATATATATTCATACATATATATGTATATAATTTACCCTGTACCATTTATTTTTAGTTTAACATATAAACCTTAGTTTTCTGTCCATTCTGTTACAAAGTGAATAAAAATTTTATGGTTGCACTGAAAGACCATGCAATTCAATTTTGCTTATGTTTCCCAATAGTGCTCAAAATAAAAAAACAAAAATTTATATATAAAAATATTTCACTACCAAACCCACTAGTGCTATCAAATGTAAACCTTTAATAATTTAAAGGACCAATACATGATCTTAGTAAATTGAAGTTAATTCTCAATATTTTAATAAAATAAAGGAGTTTTGTACTGATATGTAAATGGTCTTGCAGCTTTCCCATAGGTTCTAGTAGACTGAACAATCCCCTTCTTACACCATTCCTGACATGCCATCAGATGTCACCAGCATGTTAATGACAGCATTACATTGAGTAGTAGCATTGTTGATTACTTCCACACAAGCTGGGATCTGTTAGAAAGGAAACATAACAACTCATTTTGGTGTTATAGGTATTATATCCGTAAAAGGCATAACAGGCAGCATGGATCCATTTTAGAGTTTTTGCTTTAGTTTTGTTTTCTGTCCTCAAGTCTGTCTGGAGGCCCTGCCCCATTTAATGTGTGACCTTTGTTAAGTTCTTCTTGAATGTATCACCAGGGTCAAAGATACCAAAGACCTCCACTTCAGGTCATTCTCTTAACTTGGGTTATTTACAGAAGTCGGTTATTAGGAATCTTCCAATTGTGTTCCGGTCATTCACCACATTTGTGGGATGCATTAGGCACAAATGATTACTAAGGGACTTCTCTGAGAAGCAGCAGATGTTCACAGATCATGGGGAGTTAAGGAAACAGACAAACAAACAATGCTCACATTCAGTTTGCCCCTTGCTTTCTGTCATCACGTCCATACATTTTCCAGCACATTCCGAATAACAAACCTCCTATCTAAGGGCTATGTTAGTCACCACATGCCTTAAGATTTACTAACCATTTTATTACAATATACATAGAACAAAGTGTGTGTTCCCAAACAGACATGATGCTATCGTGTATTTAGTTATTTTAAATCAACACCAGGGTAAACTACCAACTACCAACAGTAAAGACACAGAACACACTGGCAACTCCAAATCAAGCTGTGGTTTACAAATCATTATTTAAATAATAGTAATAATATTAAATGAAAGTGAAAACCTCACTTCTAGACTTAAGTCAGAGATCCAAGTCAGCCATATAGGAATTTTAAGATAGGCAATTAATGAATGGTTGTATTTTTCTAGAAATGAGAAATACTGTAAGCCTCTCCCTACAGTGACTGATCTGAACCTATATATATATTTTTTTTTCCCCAAAAAGCATGCAGGGACTATTTTCAGATGCTTGGTTATGGCAAGAAGGAAGAAAAGTAATGATTTTTTGGTGTAATACAAGCAATTTGTAGAATTGAGCATACAGTTTTGCATAAAACATTGCAGGTTAAAATAATATTGTAGGTTTCAAGCCATTGCATTACTGAATAACTGTCACAATTAGGTTTTGTAAAATTTCAAACTCTAAGTTTTGAAGTGAAGCAATAAAACTAAATTCTTAAGTGACGACTTTTACCTTCATACAGCACAGAATAGCTATTTTTATTTGGGTTGAAAAAGTATTTACAACTAACATTGATTGAGTCTTGGTAAAAGTCCGATAACACATGAAGACAAATATCCCCTCAGCTTTCTGAAAGATCAATGAACATGTTTGAGGTTAGAGATATTCCTAACAGTGGCAATGCTAGTCTCCAACCGTGGCCAAGCATACGGTGTGCTCTGTAACCTAATTCAAAATTGAAAGCACCAAAATACAATTTGGATCTATAAAATGGGACTTGCTATTTAATTCTCCATAATTAATGATTAACAATTTAGATGCAGAGACACAGCTAATGAATGAAGTTTTGGTTGGTGCTATTCAGTAGCTCACTTGAGTTGCCTTTTAAAAATCAGAGTTTTGTTTCCACTGAATCCAAGAACTCTTCCTAAAGTAGAGAAATACATATATCAAAGGAATTCAGTAAAAGTAGGTTAAAAATAAATGATCTTACAACAACATTTTAAATCCTTTAATGATTTAAAGAAAGGAAGACATATAACACTGAATGCTAAACAGGTCTTTTGAACTTCTCTTGGGAATTTAGATAGATATTTAATAGTAGATATATATTTATATATTTTACATTTTGCATGTAGGCCAGAGCTGTCTAAAATATCTCTTCATAGTAGGCTATAGGAATCTATCAGGAGATAGAATAAAATAAGGTCTGAGAAGATGCTCAGTTTATTAGAGTATTTCTTTCTGCTTTGACAATCAGCAGGGATCATAAATTTGAAGCAAATCGTGGCTTTTCTGCCTCTGGGTCTGTAGTTAAGACTGAGGAAGACTCTCTCGGAAGAGCAGCTGCTGGTGGAGGGGGTGCGGGAGGGGCTCCGCGGTTAGGGGGAATGGCTCCCGAGGACATCTGTCGGAACAGGGTGACTCGCTGGGGGACGGTGCCCCTGCCCCCCGCCTGGAGGCCCGGGCCGTGAACGGCGGTCACGGGCTGAGGGATGGAGGCCAGGGACTCGCCCACAGTGGGATGAGGTCTGGAAATGAGAGTGGAAACCTCATGGGGCAGCGAGGGCTGCGAGGCCGACAGGGGCCGGACTTCTCGGGTCAGGCTGGTGTTGTGGAGCGCCTGTGTGCTCCTGTGCACGTCGTTTTTCGGCGTGGAGCCGCCGGGCGTCTGAGGCTGCGGGGGCGGCTGCGGGGACTGCTGGAGCTGCTGCTGTGTGAGGGACAGCTGGGAGGCAGTAGGGGAGGCGTAGTGGAAAGTTCGAGTGGCCAGCGGGCTCTGTACGGGAGGGCTGCAGACTGCAGTGGTGTAGGAGCAGGGCGACAGGATGGCGGACGGCTGGGGGGTCTGTGTGCTGGGGCTGGGGGAATGCAGGTTGCCATGGGACAGACTGGTGGCTGTGTACACCGGCGGAGACTGTGTCCTCATGCGGGAGGTCGGAGTCGTGGTGGAGGAGGTGGAATTCAGGGCTGTCATTTGGGGATAACTGATTGGAGCGATTGCCTGCACCATCTCGCGGTCATGCTTCACGATCTGCTTCAGGATCTCATTCTCCTGATTGTTGAAGACGCCAGTGTTCAGATCCTTCTGGAACTTTTGCAGAAGAATGGAATTTTTCTTTCCTGTCAGCGAAAGAGAGGGAGCCACTGAGAAAGCCTACAGATGACGGGTGACGAGCCCAGGGGAGAGTGGCTCCTGGAAATGGAAGTATGCCCGTGTTTCACGGAAGACGCTTAAAAGCCAAGTACTCACCTTTAGACGCGAACGGAAAGATGGCTCCTGCCTTTCATACTTCCTGTAGCTCCCTGGGAAATCTTACCTTCTGTGCAAGTCAAGTTGAAAAGTCTGTAATGTGGCAAAAGCCATCTTACAGAAGAAAGGGAGATATCTGACCTGAGGGCTACTTTGAAGAGTGGGAGAAGAAAGGGCATTTGGATCAGGATGGGTCTGCAATCAAAATTTAAGTTTAAAGCTACTTTTTTTTCCCCCAGGAAAGGACAATAGAACACTTACTATGTGATAGCTACTCTACAAAAGGCTTTAGGTAGACTTATTTTATTTAATCCTCCACCCTTAGAGGTGGATGTGTTTATAAGCCTGTTTCACTCAGAAGGAGAACGGGACATAGGAAGGTTAGAACAAAGCCCAAGAGAGACTGGTTAAAAAGAAACAGGACTGGGGAAGGAAAACAGCAAATATGATTGCAGATTCTTACCAGCGGCATGCATCTGTATCACGTGAGTGCCTTCTAGAAATGCAGTCTCTTAAGCCCCCTCCTACTTGCTGACCAAGATGCTGCATCTTACTAAGATCCTCAGGAGATTTTCACGTGCAAATCTGAGGAGCCCTGTGGCAAGTCCTTTGCCTCTGACCAGTGCCCTATACCAGTGATCCTCCACCATACGTTCATAGTCTTCTCCTCTCTGAAGCTTTGAAAAATACTGATTTTCATCTGAACCCTATTAATTAAACCAGAATAACCAGACATGGGGTCCAGATTTCAGTACTTTAAAAGTGTATTTCCTCAGAGGATTTTTATGCACGGCCAGGTGGAGAACCATTTCATAATCTTTCCTTTTCTGAAAGGTCTTTGTGAGGATTAAGGGGCACAGTGTATGGCAGGTTCTCAGCTCCCTCTAGAACCTCAGTAAGCATTGCCTCTCCTTCCTGCCATTGTCTTTGGAGTGGTTTGCAATAAGTAGACATTCTCTGGCAGGATGATAATAGAATCAAAATTAGATTGATGAAAGGGGGAAATTAGTGACTTTTGGTGACATCATTGATAAAATAATCCCCAGATAAATATCATAACTGAAAAGTGAATCAACTTGCCATATTGCTAAATGAAGTTAGAGTTAGAAGGAATACTTTTTAATGGAAATATATGTTATAATTTACTTGGATGCTGGAAAACTATCATTTTAAATGACTGCCGAAATAAATGTTTGTCTCTCCTTATAGAACTGTTCTAATTTTCTCAAGAACAAAAGCTCCTATATCTGTAATAAATATAAATGCTTATTTAGCATATTGCCTTAACTAAATATGGTCTTACATGTATAAGCAATAGCCACAGAATGGAGAAAGATAATACTTTTTTGTGATCATGTGAATAGTCAACATTTTATAATGTAAATATCTGTGAACTTATGGAGAAATATTATACTTTTTAATGCACTGTTAGAATTTTATAAGGATCAAAACTGCAAATGCTTGGTGCTTATTTGCAATTTTATTGCCTGCATTATTGATTGCAAACCATTTCATGCAAACTTTCTTATAAAAATTAATTGGAATAAGTTAGACGAGAGTGAAGCTGATCAGATTAACAGAAATTCTCTATTAAAATACCCTGATTTTAATGCTTTCTCTGAAAATGTCTAGCTGGCTTAGGAAAAAAACACATGTGCTCAGAAATTAGTCTCTAGCTCTACCATGAGCACTCACATACCACAAAGAGGTAAATTATTTTCAAATTAAATAAAGATGCTTTCAGGAATACCCACTTTTTTGGGCACTGTCTCTCTCAACACTATGTCCTATTACATGTCTAAACTGTCAATATGAATTTCTAATATGTGTCTTATGTCTAATGATAATGTCCAAATACTACCTTTACTTCTCCTAACCTAATTTCAGAGCCTAATGCATCTGTCATCCCACTCTGTAGAAGGGAAAGAAAGACAGAGTGCGTGAGAAAAGCTGACATAAGACTACATCAATCAGTGATCCTTACCTTTAATAAGAATGAAGCACTTGTTTACTTCCAAGTGATGCCAACCCCATATCCTTTGAGATCATTGATTCCTTCATCCCTCCCTACCAGCTCTCTTCAAGAATATTCGTTGTGTACTAGGTACTGTGACTATAATAGTGAATTAGACATGATCTCTACATTCACAAATCTTAGCATCGTCAGAGCAATTGCAATGATAAAAGCAGTATTGTGATGGAGGAAATTCCTAGGGGGATGGGAGAACATACCCAGGATACTCAGCCTAGGAGCCGGCAGGAGGTCACACAAGATTTCTACAGGGTAGTGATGTCTAAACCCAGGTTATGAAGATGGAGTAGAGTTAAGCAAGGAAAGGGGGCAGAGCATGGTAGGGTGGGGAAAGAGGATTTAGGTATAGAAAATGAATGCATACCACCTTCTGACATCAGAATGTTCCAGCATATCTTGGGAAGCGAATGGCAAGCCAATCTGTTCTAACTTTACTATAGCAATTCTTCAGATCTTTAAACTAGTGTAACTAATAAGGTCTAATTTATATATTCTTATTGGAGAGCAGAGAAGACTGTAAAATAAGTTGATGTTTACAAAGTAAAGCATCTATGTCGGGCACTTCTAGGAAGGCTTTTCCTGCATGAGTCTGTATTACAAACGTTTCCAGAAGTTTCTACTCAGACAAATAAAATCTACAAGTTTTCAGTTCTCAATATAAAGCTAAAAATGTAAAGTTGATACATAAAAATTTTTTAAACCTTGTAGTAAAATTATTTGGTTTGTAATGTAGACTCATACTATTATATTTTTAGTTCTATTTTAGTACTACCTAAAATTTTTATCATTGTTTTTTACCTGACGATTCAAATTGTTTTGACATCACTGGGGAAATCAGACTGAGCAGCTAGTAAAAATAGAGATGATTAAATAAACCCAGAATACTTAGAAGAGAAAGTTAGATAGTAGAAATAGGGCTAGAGCTAACTGCTAGTTCTATGCTAATTAATAGGCAACCTATTATAGCATTTAGGACTTATGATGGCAAACATATATCAGTCTACTAAAGTATAACTAAGTTGTACACAAAAAAGGTAGAAAACTGAAGAGAGTACCTATTCGATCTAGTCGGTCAATGGCAACGGTCTCGAAGGCTCGCCTCATCATTGGATATTCCTCCAGGACCTCATTGAAATTGTCCACAGAAAGTGAATAAAGACGACAATATGTATCAGCTCGAACACTGGCAGTGCGGCGGCCCTTGGTCAGCAAGCAAATCTCTATAAATACAAGAAGGGAAGATTTGTTTGGTAGTTTACTTTCAAAGACCACTAAGACCCACAATTTTAAAAAAAAGTCTCATGGTGTGATCAACCAATGATTGGCAGCATTTTCTATTTTATCAGTAAATTCCTTCTGACAAAAATTTCCAATCGACAATACTCAATCTTAAAATGATATTTTAAAGACTTTAGTTCAAATGGAAAGCTGACACGGAGTTATCTATCTTTCAGCCCTCATTCCAATCCATCTGAAATAACAATAAAAATGTAGAAAAGAGAATCATAAATCCACAGTGGAGTTGAATACTGGAAGAAACTGTAATCAGACAAGATTTTTATGAAGTTTGGAAGGCAAAAAGCAGATCATATGATATAGATAGAAACCAAAGTGAACCAAACACTGGCCTAGAAAGTCCTATGATCAAGAAAAACTGGACCACAGGTTCTAAGGAATGCATTTCAGGCATGCTTTATGTAGTTCTCATACTCCCAATGAGATTGGTATAGAAAATTACATTCCAAATGCACAGAGAGGCTTTCTATTTCAGTAATTTCTAAGAAAAATTCTTTTTTGAGAATTAGATTTCCAAAATATAGTAAGCAAACATTTGCAAATTTGGATTCCCTTATTTGCTACTTAAATAAATCTACAAGTGACAATCTTCTATTTCATTTCCCTAAATTTATTATTTCAACTCTATAGATTTTGATTTTTTAAAAAAATTAAAAATATTTTAAAAATTTAGTTTCAAGATAACCGATTTGAAAAAAGAAATGGCAGAAATATTTCTGAAAAGCAGTTTCCTAATGTAAGGAAATAACAGCAAAATAATTATTGAAAGGGGCCTAAATTCACACTCTTCTGAACTTATTTAAGTAAGTTCAGTTCATGTTGATAAACATGGTGAATAAATTATGTGGTGGGCATTATGTATTTGATGTTAGGGCTGGAAATATGAATCAAACAGAATGTCTACTTTTGTGTTACTTATACACTGATGATTTTTAAAAAAAAGAGTTCATTTTAATTGAGAGTTCATTTAAATGCAATCTGGTAAGAACAATAATACAGACTGTGGGCATTCTGGAAGTATTAAGAAGCACATCTGAACCAATCTGGGAAGATAGCATTTTAGGAAATGCCACTGAAGCAACCACTTATGTTGTTGTTCATGCTGGTAAACATGTAAATTTAATAAGTAATATTGTGGAATGTTCACGTTTGTGTGCATGTGCATGTGTGTGTGTGTACTGGTATAAGTAGAAAGATGAATCTTTATTATATTTAAACATAAAGCATATTATCACACCATGGAATTTGCTGGCTACTTTAAACAATGTGGTAAAAGGAAGTATTTTCAGCACTATCCCCAAATTAAATTCCTGTTGGTCACAAAAGTACTAATACCATATTATAAATTTATAATTGGCACATTATGGTGAATAAGCTGATGGGAAACGTATTACTGCTAAGTGTTTCTTTCAAATCTGTGCAAGTTGTCATGTAGAATGGTTAGGTTATAAACCTCATGGAAAATAACCAGTAAGCTGTAACAAAGATCTTAAAAAGTATCCATAGTCTTCAACCCAGAAATTTCACTGGACAATCTAACCTGAGGAATAGTCTATAGTTAGAACAATGTTTACACAGTGATACATATTTATTTAAACATCTGAAAATGTGAGAATGTCCTAAATGTTTAAATAAGTCAAGATTCAACTAAGTACAAGGCCACTGGATGAAATATGCGGCAATTATGAAAAGTGAAGCTTTTAAAGTCAGTGTGATAACAGTAGAATGGTCATGAAAGCTTAAGTGAGAAAAGAAGGATATAAGATTGTAATTACAGTCTGATAAAAATGATCCTAATGATAATGACATCTACCAATATGCCTTGCTCCAGATGAAAAAATATTCCTTTATGCAGATGTGCGTTTTTTTCTTTTTTCAACTTCTCTTTATATAAATTATTTTTATTTTGTGATGTAATTAACCTTTAATTAAAAACCTTTAGTTATAAAATTTATATCTAAGTGCACAGAATAGGAAATAAAAGGATATGAGGGAATGCAAACCTGTTAGTAGTGATTATGACAGTAGGGGATTTCCTCAGCTTTACCATCCATTCTTTTTAATATATTTTTGTTTTGGCACCTATATTTTTAATTTCCAAATGCTTTCCATTTTCCTATGTTTATTGCTTTCTCATTATATCCTTCTCTTTCATTATAGATGTAATGTCCACTGTCTCCTGATGGGTGTTAAGAGTTCTGAATATGAATGATGCACATATGCTACAACATGGACAGGCCTCAGTGTGTTTCACAAACATACGTGGAAGAAGCAAGACATGAGTCTACATATTATATGATTCCATGTATATGAAGTATGCAGAGAAGGCAAATCTACAGAGACAAATTATTGGTTGCTTGGGACAGCGGGTGGGAAAGGAGATTCACAATAAATGGGTACAAAGAATCTTACTGGAGTGATGAAAATGTCCTAAACCTGATTTATGGTGATGGTTTCATAATTTGGTAAATTTAATTAAAAAATTGAATTGTGCACTTTACATGGGTGAACTATATATGTAAAATATATTGCAATAAAACTGTTAAAGTGAAAAGAAAAAAGGGCTTTTGTTTTTCTATTTTATATATATTTTAGTCCCCTTCTGTTTTCTGAATTCTTTCTCTTCACTATTTCTGCCTCTGTGTCTAGAGCTTTTCCTTGAATGTTTAATGGTTTCTTCAGGTAATCCATTCACATTCTTTCACATTTAAGGATGAAAAATCTGGTGATGTGGCATAATTTGTTGATTTGGGGTTTCTCTTTAGAGCAAAGAGATAGGCAGTTTGTTCTCTTACTTCCTTAAATGCCAGAATGGGGAAGGCTTTACTCCAGGGTCACTAATAATCTGTTTTAGCCATCTTAGTTCTCTGCCTTCTTCAACTGCTTTCAAAGAAGAACCTCAGGAGAATAAATGCGTGGTTACAGGCTGCTCTGCAATGTGGAGTGAGGGACAGAGAGTCCTTTGTACCATATGCAGCCTTGGGTAGGTCACCTGTTTTCTCCCTCACTTTTCATTTGTCTCTTTGTAGTCCTAGGGTCTCAGCTGGGAGCCATTCTTGCGTTCTGCCAGGAGATCTGCTCCCTCCCTGGGCACAGTCCTTGATATATATATTCCAAGTTCCCTCTACTCTCCCTTCAAGTTTCATCAGTAACCACCAGCATACTTAAAACAAATTTTTGGCTTAAACAACTGAAATTTTATGTTATCACAGTTCTGGAGGCAACACAAAATTCTTCAGCCATTATTTCTTGGCACCTCCTCAATAATTTCGTAGTGAGAAAGAGAACAAATGAAGGTATATTCACGAGAGGAGTGAAGGTATATTCACTGGTCAGTGTGAAAATCACTTTAAATAGTCCCTTCTTTTAAAGTCTCTGTTTCTTCCATAAATAACAAAATTAACAAATGCCACACATTTAGCAATGAAAAAAGCAAATCTTCTGATCGTAAAAGAGTCTTAGATTTCATGAACTGAATTTCTAGATTCAGTATGTGAATGGAGCAGTTGCTTCTCCATGAATTAATTTTTGATTAATATTAAGTTATTTTGGAGACCTACTTATTGAGGGAAGAGAGTCCTGTGTCAGGTGTTACAGAGTTTTTGTGTATTTACTCTGTGTGTGTGTGTGTGTGTGTGTGTATGTGTATTTGGGTTTGGATAAAAACAGAGAAAGAAAAACCGTCTTATTCATCTGTATCTCATACTATCCTTTAGGCTCCTAAGAAATTATGCATATATTAGTTTGTCACTACTTTTATTTTCTTGTATTGGATTTTCTAATTGTTTCCTAAAGATTACTTACCTCCCTCACTGGTTTGAGACATTTTAAAGACAGCAATCATACAGTGACATTATTGTATCCCTCCCAGTGACTGCAACCTTGAGTTTTGAGCCCAGAGAAAATTATTTTAAAATGCTTATGAGTACATCAATGATAGTGGATGAACCCAAGGCACTAAGTTCTATTCTTTAAGTTTTAGATAATGTTATATTGGTTCCCCTGTGAGGTATCTCTCTTTTGTAACAGAACTTGCCAAATGATTTATGTACTTTCTCTAAGCAACACAACATATCTTTGTGGGTTTTGTGCAATATCTATAATGAAGAAAGTATCTAGAATGTTTGGTAATATTTTCTTCAACGTAGACAATGTCATTTCTCACCAGGTAGAAAGTTTAACTTGCTTTTGGGTGCTCAGATCGACTTCACACATAAAGTAAAATACACAATGAAATAAAATTGAATTCCCAAAGAACAAACTAAGTGCATCTTACAGATGTAAGCTTTTTTAAAGACTATTATGGCATATTTTCTAGACCATGTTGACTGTTCCAATCTTTCTACTTTTCTTCTTGTTTATTTACTCTTTGAGAACTAAACTAGGAATTTCCCAGGGGTGCAATCACTGCTTTAACAATTTTAGTGCAAATTTACTTGGAAATAAGTCCTTTATCTGGACACAAATTTCTAAATTATAATCCAGAGCACAAGTATTTGGGGACTTGACATATTAATTTTAATTTTGTATTATTCTCCTGTTTTTCTTTACAGGGTAAGTTATTTCAGTTATTGAAGAGGAAAATTGACAGTAATGCACCCTATCACAGGCACATTGGAAAACTGTTTTCAATTTCAACATTATAAAGAGGAGTATATCCCAGGAGATTAAATGTGACTCACTGCTACAAAAAAAAATATATATATATACTTTTAATAAACCTTAGGGTATGAGATATATCAACTACTCCATGCTATTTTTGCTGACATCAGTTAACCTTGATTATAGCATTTCAGTCTATCTGACATTACTGTCACTTATATAAAGTCATTTTATAAATGGCGTCAAGAATTTTGCAACTCAGAAATATTTCTGTGACCCCTAAAACAGAGTTTAACATTTCAGTAATGCAGGAACTTACCAG